CCTCCAAAACTATTTCAAGCCTCCAACCTGCATAAGCCAAGCCTTAACAAGCTCCAAACCTCAAACCTGTGTCAAACACAAGCTAACAGCATAAGCCTCAAACAGAAGCCTAAACACCCTGCATAAACATAAGTCTGTAACCTGTTTCAAGAAAGCAAGCCACAAAATTCAACCAAACCACCTCAAAATCCAAACATACCAAACCTGCTGAGCCATACAAACCTGCCTAAAAACCAGTAAACACAAGCCAAAACTTGCATAAGTTGTAAACACAAGCCTATGCCCTGTTTCAAACCAGAAAAGCCACAAAACATTCAAACCAACCACACCCTCAGAGCAACCTCATCATAGGGTTATAAACATACAAGGCAACTCAGCATATTAAGCATATCAGAGGCAGCATAACTAGCATATACAGAAGCAAATAGCAAGCAAGCATACATAAGCGAAGAGTAAGCATACAGGGAAAAGAAGCAAGTAAATCATCAGAGGAAAAGAAGCGAATAGGAAAAGCGTTTTCAGAAGAAGGTTCATCATAAAACACAAAAGCAAGATACTAGACAAACCAGGGAAGACTTCCAAAGCTCACAGCATCGCGCCCCTCCTCCTGGCCGTCCTAAGGCGCCTCCGATCCACTCCTCCTCCGTCTCCAAAAGCCAAAGGTAGTATTTCTCCTTTTTTTCTTTCCACGCAACTCAAACAGAAACAATGGCAACATAAAAATCAGAACACGAAAGTAACATATACAGAGCTTGATACCCTAACGCGTTAAAGACAGAAATCACTACCTCGTATAACTATTGCCTGAGTGATCCATGGAGGGAAGAGGAGACGGATATTGGCGCCTGGTGGCCATGGGCGGAGATTTCACTCAGAAGCTTGAAGGGACGAAGAGGAGAAGAAGATGCACGGCGCCGTTCTAAGCAATACTGTAACCCTATTTTTCCAAATGAAACATCAAAGTTCAGACCCTTAGAAAATGTTCACAAGCGCTTGGGCCGGTTCGCCCATCAGCTGCCTAAAGCCCATACAAATTCCAAGCGCACCCCCCTTTCTTTGATTCTCATTCCATTTTTTTGTTTGGGCCATAAAACCCCCCTGAAGCCCATTCCATTCCTTTTTCTTTTTTAACTAAAACTATTACTCTTTTTATCACACTATATCTTTTTTATAACTTACTTTGTTAAAAAACTTAATATACTAATTTTATTTTTACCTTAAATTTTATTAACCATACTTTTTTTTATACTCAGAATATGTAGATATTAGGTTTCATTAAGTTTAAACATCTTTTTATTATTAAAACCTTTTTAAATTTAAAACCTTGAATAAAACATTTATAGAGAATACATAAAAAATAGCCTTTTTTTTAGGTCAAATACTTCCTTTTTTTTATTTTTATAGTTTATTAAAACTCTTGTACATAAAAATATAAATTAAAATACATAAAACATTATTTTTCTTGAACTTAAAACATTTCCTTTTTTTCTTTAAAACTTTTTTATACAAAACATTAATACATAAATTAGAATTTCTTAGGCATTTTCTTTTATTAAATCTTTTGTTTGTACATATTAACAAAAATCTAAAAAAATCATAAAATACTTAATAATATATTAAGTTAAAATCTTGCATCACTTGTAAATAAATCACATACAGTTACACATATACTTTTATTTCTCTTTTATTCTTATGCATTGATAGATTTTACATTGCGATTGATTCGATTTGGTTGTAAATATATTTGGACACCACTATTCCGATAAATCTCATCCCCCATTTGTAAATACTTGTACCCCCATCCCCAGATACTTATTTGTAATAGTTTAGGACTTTAAATTCCTGGAATTTATCGCTTTCAATTATACCATGTTTAGACCTAGGGTTTGTATGTAAATAAAATCAACTGCTAGATAACCTAAATACAAGACAAATGCATGACAATCAATACACAATTCACACTTGCACCCCTAGGGTAATCCCGCTTGTTGCCTTTTAAAATGGGTCATGCTTGCACGTTGAGTTTCTTTGGCAAAACAATTCAAATGATCATAGTCCCTCGATGACGCTTTTGAAAGTTTCCTAAAAGAAATGATGATAGTCCCTTCAAGCAAAATTTTCAAAGACACTTGGCACCATTGCATTCATGGTCCATACGATGACCCGCGCCCGTCCCGTTAACATCCTAACACAAGATTGTCCACCAAATACAATGGTGGAACAATATTGTTAAAAGGGTTAAAACATGAGAAAAACCTTTGAGTAAATTTAGGGGTAGACAACTCTTAGTTACTTGATCAAACTTGTAAAACACACTTGCCTACTTTTCAAAACACACTCCACAACACTTTCCAAAACAAACTTTCAAAAACATTTGAAACATCTTTTCGAAAAGACACACACCTTTGTAAAACATTCGAGTAAAGAATTGTTACAACGGTTGCCTAGACAAGGCATATTTTTTCAAAGCATTTTCAAAAACACACACACACACCACCATTCCAAGGAATTGAAAATCAAAGGCAAGTGATCTAAAACAAGTAACTAAGAGCCCATGGATAACCATGGATGAAAAGGGTGCTAATACCTTCCCTTTTCATAATCTACCCCCCGAACCCACGAAACATCTCAAAAGGTTTTTCCTGTGCTTTTTAACCTTTCCTTTAGGATAAAATAAAAATTTGATGGCGACTCTTGCTAAACTGAACAAGTGCGAATACAAACGAAAAACCTCAAGTCAGTTCTTCCACCGTATCACACTTACGTATCCCTTTTAAGGAATCAGAGCGCCGTAGTCCGAATCACAAATTTCTATTTGTTTATAATTTTTAAGTGAACAATGCTAAATTCAATCATTCCATCGCTGCTCGACCATTTGAGACTCACACACTGTAGTGGAAAGGAATCAACACGTTCTTAGAAGAGAAAATCCGAATGACAAAAATAAAGGGATTGGTTGGTGTTTTTTACCATGAAAATAATTTTTCTATGCTTAGCATTTTTTATACATTTTCCAAGAAAAAGAAGTTTTAGTTTTAAATGAAATTATGCAAAACGGGAAGAAAACAGTCTAAGGGAAACTAGCCTATATCTAACCTAGTGTTATCATACAATGATGGCCCTATGTCGAGGATGAAAAGGGAAATCTCTACCCTATGTTAACATGCATGGATACATATCCTAATGTCTAGATTGAAATCTATTCTAATCGAGCAGTCTTAAAGGAAGCATACAAATTCTTATTCTAAGGGAATACGGTATAACAAACAAATAAGCAAACAAATGCTTTGGCAAAAGCACACAAACATAAGTAGCACATACTGACTCAAATGGATGGAGGAAACAAGAGAAATGTTTTAGCTAAGGGGAGCGTATCATCCGAAGCAAACAAGTGGGAGGTAGAGGAAATAAAAAAGAAAAGAAATGTTTTAGCTAAAGGGAGTGTATCACCCGAAGCAAACAAGAGGGTAACAGAGTATTAACAACGGCTATTGCGAACTCCTGACAAAGTATGGGGGTTGATTGCGAACCCTTATCCATATGACTGACTCAATACACATGATTTGAACGACTCTGAAGTATCGACATACAATATGAGCTAAGGATGACATGGACTAGAATGTGCGGGGGTCGATTAAGGACCCTCTCCGCTTGCCTCCTTTTGAGGACTTATCATCTGTAATATAATGCAGGCACAAATGTAAACACCAAAACATAAAGAATACCTACTTCAAAGGTAGGGTTTTAAACAAACGTAAATAGCATACAGAAAGCGGTGCCTGCTACAGGACTTTAAATAACGACTTCGAGTGCACGCTCTTTATTTCCTACTTCTCGTGATATCTAGAAAAACGGTAAAGTTCTGACTTCTCATGATATATAGAAAGAAGTAAAATCCTGAAATGGGATAAATAAGAGAAAATACCAAATAGATACCAATTCTTAGGAAAGCGTATCAAAACAGAAAAACCCGACGATCTTCGCGAAAGCTTCACCAATCAAAGAAAAGAGTCATAAATCAAATGCTCGAAATAAGTGTCGAAGCATCATCGATATGAAAATAAATCACAATTAAAAACTCAAGCATATGTCCGCATATCACACTCTAAACCTGCATAAGACTCAAATCTCGACAAACAAAAGTGAATCACTAGTCTCAAATAATCGAAAAATTATCAATTAATTTCCTAAAATAAAATAAAAAGCCTAATAAATTTTTATTGATTTTATATTTTTTTTATTATATAAAAAAATGAAAAGAAAGTCCTAAATCCTATATATTTTTTATCGTTTTTATCATGTATTCTATAACTATTTTTATTATTAAAAAAAAGAGAATTAAACTAAAAACAAAATCTAAAACCAAAAAGAGTCAGGGGGTTCTAAACGGCAACTAGTCGTGTAGTAAGGAAATCAGACGCTAGGCCCAGCTTGTAAGTCCAATCGCCATTTTTTGTTTGAGAAACAAAAAAAAACCTTGTAGTAACGGGCCAGACAAGGGAGAATTCGGTTCAGTCCAATAATATCCAGCCTTCAGTCTCTTTTGTTGTCAAAATAATATAATGAAATCAGACAAGAATCCCAAAATGGTTGCGTTTGAGAAGAACCCTAGGGTTTGTGACTATCCAAATCCCATGATAAGAAAAAGTCCCTTTCCTCTCTCTCAAAGAAACACGACGCGGCCAAGCCTGACTCTTTCATCTCTGTTAACATCCGGCCACCATACTATCTCTATATCATCTCGTATTCCTTGAGTCCAAGATCCACCTCTGATCCTAAATCATTCTCTAAACCTAGATCTTCAAACAGAGTTCAAGCAGTGACGATGAAGATTCGCAGCTCAAAATATTAAGGCTAAGATTCAGCAGGCAGAAACGTATGGCGTGATGAAAAATTTGATGCAAAAGATGAAGAGATGATGGAAATTGCATACTTACCTTTCAGAGTTGCTCTGACGACTTCTTCAAAGAAGTCGGAAACATAGAGAATTCCAGAAACTCATGTGTGTTGAGGTAAGAAAGTTTTTTTACTCTCTTTATATCTCTTCTTCTCCCTTTGTACGCTTCTGAATTTATACTTATGTGAATTGCTATTGTGATGTAGATGAGTGAAGCGTGCATTGCAGAGAATCTTGAAGAACTGGTGATGATGTTGATTCCAGGAAGGTGCAGAGATTCCCTACTGAAGGTTGGAGAAAGAAGGAGGTTCCATTGCTGAGAATTCAGTGTGGAGGATGAGGATGAGGATTAAAGGTGCAGAGAGTCTTGAAGAATTGTGCCTTCTTGAGAGTTGCAGAGGACTTTTCTTTTATAGAGAATCATCTTTGAGGTGAGTTTGTATTTTTTCGATAATGAATCCTCCCTAAGTTTTTTCTTGTTGAATAATGATTCTGAATCAGAAACTGGATAATGATTTCCCCCTTGAAAAATATATTAGAAGTTTTTTTTATAGGCAGTTGAGATTCTGTTACTCTATTGGAGAGTTAGTTTTTGAATCAGTTAGTGCTAGAAGTTAGTTATTATTCTGTTAGGTTTTTGTTTGAACTGTTATGAAAGTTAGTTGGGAAAAAAACTGTCACGGCCTGTTAGTTTTGTTAGTTGGGCTAAAGTGAGGTAGTTAGTTAAGGTTTAGAAATAACACTGGTTAGTTTTTTATTTATTTTCTGTTACAGTCAGTCGGTTAGAAAACAATTAAGAGGTTCGGTTGGGATTGACAGCTGATTTCTGATTATGCAGGGTCCCATTTGGATTTTATTTGGTTATTTGATGCAGGCTGTTAAACTATTTTTCTGATCGAACTTGTGGACTATTAAACTGAGCTGTTTATTATGTTTATGAACATGGCAGGGCTGCCACAATTTGGATTCAAGTTTGGTGCATGCCTGGAACCGTTTTGGCACGATTTTGAAAATTGTATGCAGGGCCGGTTGAGTCTGACTGTCAGTTTGGTTTTGAACTGGTTTTTGGTTGAATGCAGGTTTGGGCATGTCTGAAACAGCGCAGCAGCAATGTTAATGTCAACACTGGTGCAAAATCTCGGGTTCATTTAAATTTGATTCGGTGCAGCTAGGACATTAGAATGGTTTGAATTGTGGACTTGAAGCATTTGAAAGCACATAAGCAAAGTTGAAGCTTAGTCATGAAGAGAGCTTGTGCTTGTGCACAAAGATAATATTTTGAAGAGGAAGTGAATTGAAGATGTAGGATAAATTGCAAATTTTGAATTTTGTGATGTATTTAGTATTATTGCAATTGAACCTTGTAGCAATATACCATATAATAGAATTTCGAATATGGTTGAAAGTGTACATGTTCTAGTTCTTGATTTTGTAATAGCCATGGCTGAATCAAGAAAGAAACTTTGACTTAATTCACTTGTCTTTGAATTCCTTATCTTGTGCTTACGACTTCTCAAAATGTATCTTGAATGAATATATGTTTTTTTTTTTCAATTGTTGACCTTTGATTTGCTTCTTGAACTTCGAGTAACTAAAGCGATGTCAGTCAAGAACTCTTTTCCTTCAAATGAATTTGCACATTCAAGTCCTTTCCATTACTTGTAATCTTAATCAAATCATTATGCATCCAATGAATCTTGTCTTGAATTTCTCAAATATTTTGCATTGTGAAGGCATGGCATAGAGGAATCTCCTTTAAAGATTTGCACTCTTGCACTCTAGACCATGGTAAAGGCTCTTGAGATTGCACACCAACATGATGAACAACTCCACTTGAATTCATTCCTTGAAGTTCATATGGTTAGAGAAATAAACTCTAACTCATGTGGAGATTATGGTCACAAGGAGAAGGCCTCAAACACTCGAGTTTCTATCCTTTTGGTTGTCACTTGTGAGATAGCTTGTATTGCAAGTACCAATAGCCTTCTCTTGTGTTGAGTGAAACCAAAGTATGTTCAGTATAAGAGCTTCAACACATGCATTGTCAAGCCTCTGAAGTTTTCTCAAATGAACCTTGAATGAGGGCCAACCCTAATCATGACTTTTGCCTCCTCAGATGAACAAACCCTTCAAAAAGATATAGAAACCCTAATTCCAAAAGCTCTTCGATCTCGTAACCATGGAATCGATGATATGCATGAGATGTATATGATGTGATGAGGGATCTTAGGGGCAAGAATTGAGGTATAACAATAGGAAGTTATAATATGTATTGTGGTTTGGGTCCTACTTTTCTGAAAGCCTTATAACACCCGCACCGTGGGGGAAAACGGGTTCAAGGATGGACAAAGATGGATTTAAGCCACCCTTTATATTCTCTGCAATTTAAGATTACTTTGTCATTGCTTTATTTTCCTTTTTCTTTTGCAATTCTGCACTTCTCTTCATCTTCTTTATTTATCTTTCTTTTGAATGCTCACTTGAGTGTTATTTCTTTTAATTTGTCATGAGACAACTTTTTTTATAAAAGTTGTTGGAAAAAATTCTAAACACTAATAAGAACAATGATTTTGTTCTTAAAGAATGCATGAACTGATATCATAAATCCTGATACTTGAACGAATATTATAAAAGGACTTTTATCCTGTCCTAAAATGTTGATGGATAATGATTGTTTACATTAACAAAAATTGGTGTAAACAGTGGCATAAGGGTTTGCCTTAACCTTTTTGATTTTGAATTCTTGATTACTATTCTATTATAGTGGTTTGAATCTGTTGAATTTCTTTTTGTATGATAAATTGTGGTTACACCTTTTGGAAAAAGTGTAAAAATTGGATAAATTGTATATATATGATGATATAATCAAAATTATCTGTTTATCTTTTATAAAAATGTTTTCGGGGTTTTAGGGTGTTACACCTGAGGGACTATGTAGTGTTATAGTTGTGAGGGTCTGAAACTAGGGCACCCTCACCCAAGAGTTGTACCGCCTATGCGGTGAGTTAAGGACTTGCCTTTGACACTGATGACATGTAATGGTGTTAGTCAAAGGGGAGGGAGTCCTCTACTATACCCTAAAGGATACGTGATTAATAACTTCTCCTAATCAAGAGGGAGAAGTTGTCACCACTCAGGGTTACCCAAACCCTTGGCCCAAAAGGCATCTATAAATACTCTTCCCCTCAAGGAGGAAAGGACATATCATAACTCATACTGATCACACCCCTTATATGCTTATACATAAACACATCGTTCATCTACAGAGCCTCTCACCTCAGGTGAGCAAGACTCCTAAAACTATCATAAAACATAATCGTACATAGCTTCTCACTATTGCGGGAAAGCCCTAACCATCATACATAATTATAAACCTATTAAGGTCTATGAGTTACCCTTCCCTTATAGAAGGAACATACACACCTATACTTTTTGACCAGTACAAAAGGTTACTTTATCCACCCCATGGGGTGCTAGTTCACCCTGGTGAAAAGTAAAAAAATCCCTTAGATTCCTGAGATGCATCTCCAGACGCACCCAAGTTACACATATTCACCGCTTAAGTGAGTGAGCCACCTCTATTTTCCCCAAAAATGTGTCTGAGATGCACCTTCGTAATAACTTTTATTTCAAAACTCATTATTTTACGCTCACTGAGTTTTAAAGAGATGCATCTTCAGGCAGGTTTTAATTCAAATACCTCGCGCCTGAACCTTCCCATTCCTTCTTCATTTGTTACATTTTCACAAACCCTTCAAAGAGCTCATGGGCAGTATTTAAGTGCATCATTTTTCAAGCTTCAACACTATTTATACCTCATTGCAATCAATCTCAGTAAATTACATTCACGACTGTGATACGGTGGGAAAGAACTGACTGTTTTTGGAATGCTGGTTTGCGTTTTGCGTTTGTGTTTGCAAAATGTCGCGGTAAGCAAGAGTCGCCACCGACTTTTATTTTATCCAACAACGAAAGGAAAAAAGCACAGAAAAATTCATTTTTCGAGATTATTTCTCGGGTTCGGGGGGTAGATTATAGAAAGGGAAGGTGTTAGCACCCTTTCTATCCGTGGTTATCCACGGGTTCTTAGGTACTTGCTCATATTGTTTTAAAAAATTGCTTTCTTTGTGTTTGTGGGTTTAAAAAAGTTTTTGTTTGAAAACTTCAATTTAACTCTTGCTTCTGTCCTCAAGAGCGTATGAAGTGTTTTTGAAAACTTTGTTCGAAAAGTGTAAGTGTGAAGAGTTTTTGTTTTTAAAAGAGCAAGTATCTAAGAACCATCTACCTACTCGAAAAAGGAATCGTTCTATGCTATCTTCCTTTAGACAATGCTATCCTACTATTTGATTAGTAGGCAACATCGTCGTTGGAGTTTAAGGGTCAATTCGAATGAGGGACTTACGGTCACCAAAGCAATGTTATGACGCTTTAGCGGTAACCCTAATGTCTTAGATCATTTGTTTATGAGGCAACAATATCTGAGGCAACCGTTTCGAGGCGACTATGATCTTTGGACAAGAGGGCGACCTCTAAAGTGACCTATACTCAATGACCGTGTACGAAGGCAACCAAGTGGGGTGTACCCTAAGAGTGCGCATGTGCGAGTGTGTCGTTTTCAGTTAATTTTGTCTTTGTACATGTCAATGGTTATCTATGTTGATTTTAGGTTAAACATTCATTCTTGTCATGCATACCTATTATCAAACATCTAACAGTTTATAAGTTGCGGAAATTAAATTGCGGAAATTTAACTAACTATTACAAGGCGTCGGGTATTTACATCGCCAAAAGCAACCTTTTGAAATTTAAATGCGGAAAATAAATAAAGCGATAAAAATATTTAAAGTCCTATTAAGCTATTACATTCTGGGAACAAATACAATATTGAATAAAATGGATCGTGTGTGGGAAATTAAATCAGGCGCAAGTTCTAGGGTTTTGACCCTTTGATTATTAAAGAAAAGATTTTTTTTGGTTATTTTTGAATTTAAGAAAGAAATTAAACTAGGCTAATTATTAAATTAAATTAATTAAACAAATTAATAAAAATAAATATTTTTGGGTTTTTTTGTTATTTAAAGAAAGAAAATAAAATCGATCAATGTTAATAAAACCTAATTATTTCTAAGTTAATTTTAATTATTGACAAAAATATATTAAAGTTATTGTCTAATTAAGGCCTAAATTAATTAATAATTTTGTTAATAAAAATAAAATACTGAAATTTAATTTAATAAAGAAAAAATATTTTTTGGTATTTTATTTTATAAAAAAAAATTTTGATTGGTTAAAAAAACAATGAAAATAATTAAGTTAAATAAAACAAGAAATAAATAAAATATAGAGAAGAGAGGGTTTGGGCCTGAAAAAGGAGGTTTGGTCAGCAATTCCATGGCCCAATTGTGTTGGCCTGGATGACTTTGTGAGATCCAGTGTGTGCACTTTGACTTGGTTCCATGGTGGACGTTCCATCTCCATCCATCAGATCTGGCCATTGGCCATCTGTCCATTGATTAGATGATGGTGTATGATGTATAGCTACTCCTTAGGCGCACTGGAATACCTGAAGAAAAATTATAACAAATAGCATGGGGGACCTGGGATTCGAACCCAGGTCCTGAAGGAGTTTGGATGCACGCGTTCACCACTAGGCCATTGTGTGTTACTTGTTAGTATATTAAACAAAAATAATAATAAGACAAAACGCGTTATATTGCCAGAAAATAAAAGAAGTGCACGAAAGTTTGAATGGTCCAATCAGAGGGAGACACGTTTGTCGTCCTTGACCTTCAAACCCTTTAACTTTACCTGCGAATTTAGATCCGCAGCTAAAGGCGTAGTGTTATACCCCAAAATTTTCCCTCCCATTTTCTCATTGATTTCTCATCACAAATCCCTTGGAGATCAAGATCCAGTTAGGGTTTCATCTGCTCAAGACTTCTCCTTGCACTGTTGACCCAAAATAGGGTTTGTGTTTGCACAGAAATGTTTTAACCTAAATTGCCTAAGATGACTTTCATGCTTCATATTGGACTCCCAAGTTTATCCATACCAAGTTTCAAGTCTTGATTCCAAGTTTTGCCCAGTCAATTGGACAATTGACCTAGAAATCAGCTGTATTGGGGAAAAAGTCAACTGTGGCCAATTGACAGTCAAATCTCATGAAAATTGACCCTCATCAACATTATGAACTCATATGGACCATTTTATCAAGTTTGGATCACAACTCCACAAGAAATTTGATCAGATCACCAAAAGGGCAAAATGGTCATTTTTAGGGTTTTAACTGCACAAAGGCAATTTTTGACTGTTTGACCTAGCCAATGGCAAACCAAGCTCACATATGGACTCAAGGACCCCATGGAATTGTCTTGACATGCTCAACAATTTCAAAAGATCCCAAATGCACAAGCTTGATAGTTGAATTTCCCAATCAATTGATCAATTTTGACTGTATACTGAAAAGTCAAACTTTGACTTTTTGGTCAAAATCAAGTGTCAAGATTCATTTTTCATCAAAGCATGCCAAATAATGAAACTTGTTCATCAAGAAATCAAGAATTGCAAATTAGGGTTTGAAATGAGAATTTTTCATAACTTAGAATTTTTCTAAGTTATGAAAAACCCTAATTTTTTCCCAACTTTTCCCCACTTTCTCACCAAGATTCATTTGGATTCAAGCAAAAGTCAAAACATGAAAGTTGTAGCCTATTGCATAATCTACAACTTTTATTCACAAAGTTTTCCCAAAAGAAGCTTGTATCTCAAGTTACAATTTTTGGAACAAGGGTACCAAACCATTCTTAACTTAGTGAAAATTTGACCTATTTTAGGCAAGGTTTTTACCTAACTTCAAGACCATTTTTCACATACTTAAACTTGGAATTTCAATTTGCATTTCAAATATGGATTGTAATACACATTCCAAGCTTTCCAAAATGTCCAAGAACTCATCAAACAACCTCATGGTTAGGGAGAATCGAATTTGGCAAGTTGGA